GGGAATGTAGCACCAGGGGTTCAAACCCCTGTACCTGTGAAAAATTGCCTCTCAATTCCAAATATATTAAGACCATTTAAATTAGACAATGTTCAAACCATAAGTAATGACCTGTTGCAGAATATCTCAAGCAGATTTTCAAATGCATATTATAGCATTCGATCTTTATTTTAACCATTAAATTATTTTCCAAGTTATAGTTTTTTAAGAATCTCTAAGCAGTTTAAAAAAAAATAAACCACACCTTAGACATTCCATGCCCTTTAAAAGCTTTGACTTTGTACTTTGGCTAGATATTGATACCCTTGAAACAATTTAATATTATTTATCTAAGATATATCATTTCATTCTAATTTGTCTACTTTCTTGAATTCATCTAATCATGCTGTGATGTGGTTGCTGTGTTATACCATCCCAACTTTTTCTAACTGAATAAGGAATATACTTTTTAATAGTGCTTCTCATCAATAAATACTTTACTGTAAAGATTTTCACAAGAGTAGGAAACAAATTGTCTAAAAGTTATAAGAGAATTCAGGTCATTGATTTACTTTGAAAACATTTCATTTGCAATTTTTAAAAATTTGTTCTTGAAATAATTCCTTTTACTACAAAAGTAGTGACAACATGATTCCCTCAAAATAATATCTAACAAAGAGAAGAAAAATAGCAAGTTGGAGAAGAAAGATGTGGAATCTCCAAAATCCCTTTACCTTTCCACGGATTAGATGAAGGAGCACAGGTCTTTGCAGAGCTTCCAGGTTTGCCTTTCCTATGATTTTGGGTGCATTTTTTCCTTTGAAGATACTCTTTTCTCCTCTCTGCTGATTCACATTTTCCACCTTTACATCTGTTACCTAGAGTCATATATAAAAGCCTGTTAGAAAAGCATGGATGTCTGCCTCTTGGAAAATAAAATGACAAAGTAATAGACCAAGTAAGCTTGTCATTTTTCAATCCATGAAGGATAGGACCTTGCCACTGTAACTTAACAAGAATGGAGAAGGTATTTTAAAATTAGATTTTTCAAATTAGGCAAAACATCAATACTCAAGAATCCTGTGACTTCAGACTATAACGGCAATATGACTACAGCTCTTCCACACCTCTTTCACTCTCGTCACTTGTTTGAGCCTTTGCTGTCTGCTGATCACATTGCTTTCTGTACTATTTGTCTGAAAGGACTCCTACCCCATTCTACCATATCTGTATATATAAAATTAAAGGTAAACCATCTGAACAAGGATTTATGTAATGATTTTTTGCAGAATAGTTTATTGTTCTCTTGAGAAATGGCTCAGAGAAGTGGATGATGATGCTTTGATACTATTTGAAAAATACAACAACCACCAGAGACATCCAAGCAAAGATAACTTGGTAAATGAGTTGCATCGAGCCTTATTGTAAATGACATCAGAAACTATTTGTTTCAAGTACTTGATTCCTGTACCTATTTCACATTAATATGCAGAAAAATTACTGACTTTATTTTTTTAAAAAAATCTATTGTCTTTAGGTTTTGGAAAAGCAAGTATGGAGTCATCGTAGACCATGTAATTGAACTTCATTCTCAATATATGAATCTAAACCATCCATATTGACCAAATAGTGCTGTGTAAGAGCGATCTTGGTTCTTTCTTTGGGAAGAATGCAAAACAGTTGTACTCCCTCAATGGTGATTCCTCTTGTTAAATCAAGAATCTCCTAATATATCTTGCTTTTCACTTAGAGTAGTCTCAATTGTTTTTCACATGATATGGACTGTAGATCCCTCACTCCAAGAACATTTTGAATGGATTCCAGTTTAATGTCTGATTAATATACAGAATTGGACAAAATACTTCAGTTGCCCACAAGCATATAGTACCTGCTTCATCAATTTGGAAAAATAAGATCACTTTTGATCAGCAAAAACTTCAAAACTGTGAATCTAGCACTGATTTTAGAGAAAAATAACAAATAAAATAGTTATGTAATGAAGAGCACAACACAAGTGCTATCAAATGGTACATATCTCAAAAGATTATGTTGACATCTAATCCGTGTGTGTTTGTGTGTGTGTGTGTGTGTGTGTTGTGTGTGTGTGCGTTTTGTTTTTAGCAGAAAATGCTCACTGTGATTTGGATCAGTTGGTCATCATCACCATCAGGGTTCCTCCACAGTAGGACAACATCCACATTGGAAGAGATTCGGTAGCCCACAACATCTTGGAGTTTTCCTTTACCCCCATCAAGGAAAACTTCAGTGGAGTAGGTGAGCTTGTACAGCCGGTCATTATTTAATGAGAGACCAGTTGTGTGACCTGCATAAAGAGAGTAACACAAGTCAATCTGTAAGACAGCTGTTAGGCCAGGGAACATAGAGACTTAACACCAATACCTTCCTCTAGCTCACTGGTACTCACTGGGGGCTTAGTACATACAAAGATACTTATCTGCTGAAGCAAAGATGGTCCTGCTCCTCCACCTGTGTGAGATCAGTGGCTTAGAAAATATAAATAAGACAACCAAAAAAACAAATTCCCATTTCAGAAAACCTTAGTTTGTACCTCTTGTCAGTTATCAGGTTATCCAAATATTAACCTGGTTGAACAAAAGAACATTTTTTTTAAGAAAATGCCATTGTATTGTTTCTTATTATGTAACATGAGCTCAATTAATTAATAGGAGTCACTTGATACATTTATTAAAAATTATTTATAATTAATAAGAACCATATGTAATTTTCATATTTTTAATGCCAACAGTTGAATGCCAAAGTAGTTTTAGTAGTTCTAGAAGGGCATTTCTTTAATTTGGATATTTTTGCTATTTAAAAAATAAGCCCCCATGTACTTTATTAATTTACTTAGTAAACTTTTAGTACAAAGGTACTTTTTAAAAAATCTTTATTTATTTATTTTTTTAATGTGGCACTGAGGATTGAACCCAGGGCTTCATGCAGGCAAGGCAAGTGCTCTGCCACTGAGCTACAACCCCAGGCCCCGTACAAAAGTACATTTTAAGACTACAACTAAATAAATTTAAATTAGGTTTGCTGAAATAAAGTGATTTTTTTACTACATAAAGTCCTAGCATAGGCTTAAATTTGACCAGGGGCAATTTTTTACTTACTTATATGAATTTAGTACTGGGGACTGAACCTAGGACATAATGTATGTTAGGAAGCCATTTACCACTGAGCTACATCTCTAACTCCACCAGGGGCCAGTTAATATCACAGAGTGCACACATACATCAGTATTGTGGGCCAAGAAACTGACATATGGAACTTTTCCAATTCAATTTAACTTATCCCCAAGAAATGTAAAGAAGGAGCAAGTAAGCCTTCTCCAGAGATGACTTGGAGTTTATAGTCATATAATTTGGGGTGGGTATATTTTCTATGAATGGGTCTCAAGAGATTATCAAGAAAAATTCAGTATATGTTTCTCCTTAGGACTAATGAGGTTACATTATTACCAAGTTAACTATAACAGGCAGTCATCACTTTTCTTCCTGAAGAACTATATGTATGGAGGGAGGGGCAGGAAAGAGAGGGGAGTAGCTACATCAAAATTGAGATTGCTGAAAAAGGAAGTAAAATTACTTTCAAAAAACAAAAAAATTAAGAAGGCCTCTGAAGAGCCCTTACCATCTACACAGTAATTAACTATTGCTCTGGCTCCACTACCCACTAAAGCACATATTGCCTGGAGAAAAAAATGGTCAAAATATATTGTCTCTAGTTTTCTTGTATGGACATAAAAATCTACTGTGTTAAGCAGTAGCATTACTCATTTTCCAAATGTGGAAACTGAGCAACTCAGAGATTTTACAATTTACCCAAAGTTCCCCAGGTAATTAGCTGTGGAGACATAATTTGAACCTTAGTCATCTAGCCCTAGAGACCATATTCTTGTTTATACTATAGATGTTGGAAACTTTAGATTGAATTATTTTCCATTTCTAGGGAGTGAGATAGAAATTCACTCATTTATTGAACAAGGATGTACTGAGTTCCTGCTGGATGGTAGGCAATTTTCTGGACTCTGGGGCTGTGCAAACTAACAAGGATACAAAATTTCTACCTTCATGGATTTACATCCAAATGAGGGGGAGATGAGTAGTAAAACAAAAATAAGCACAGGAGCAATTGATATACTATGTTAGAAAGGCGAATGAAAACTACTGAAACCCAGAAGGGAATGGGGATGCTGAGGGAAAGACCTCTGTGGGAAAGTGAAGGCTTTAGGCTATCCACATGGAGAACTATGGGAAGAGTTTGCTCTGCTCCACTTCCACTTGGACTCCCCATTCCCTCTGCACAAGTAGCAAGTGCAGAGGCCTGGAGCAGGATCCCTGCAGTGTGATGCAGGACTGGCCTGTAGGTTACAAGGGCTGCAACCAAGCAAATGAAAAACACAGCAGAAAGAGATGAGTCAGATAGGGCCCTATGGTGTCAGGGAGACTAGGGAGGACATCTGCATACACTTGGAGTTTGACTCAGAGCTGAGACAGAAAGCTTGCCACACAGTTTCAGTGGTGACCTAGTTTTAGGTTTCAGGTATTACATGATCTGATGAAGTTTCAAAGAAAGAGGACAAGAATTTAATAGGAATCAAGAGGTGGATAAAGGAGGTGTAAGAGTAGGTATCTAAGTGTGTCCATACAAAACCAGACTATCCAAACATCAAGTTGGGGGTCTGAGGTCTGAGATACAGAAGGCAGAGAGAGTCAGGAAAAATCTTGAAGGAGATGATTTCCCCAGCATCCCATCTCTGCTCTTCTGCATTTTAACTGGGGATTCTGCAGGAGGTACAAACACTGGCTTTGAGACCAGGAAAGATATTTTGGCTGGAGAAAATAGGAAGCTTTATTTATTTATTTATTTAAAAAATTTTTAATGACACCTAATAAATTCCACATAGGACATAAAAGAAATAAATACATGTTTTTATCATCTAATCTTCACAGCAATTCTAAAAGGTAAGCACTATGGGAAAGCTGACAGAAGCCAACTCCAAGTGTGACCCAATAAAGTAGATATACTGCAGACTTTTAATATTCAAATTCAACTGAAATCAAGTTTGTGGTCTACATGAAGGTGCCTTCTGATTAAAATAACTACGAAAAAATTGGAGGAAGGTAGTCTATCTTAAATTTCAAAGCTTTCACAACTATTATGTAGTTAATTTTTTTTCTTACTTTTATTTTACTGTTCAACGGAACACAAAACGGAACAATAGATCAATTCTTGATTATGACTTGAAGAGAATAAAGCACAGGTAAAGAAAAGAGCCCTGTTGAACCAAAGGTTTTTTTCCTACTGCCTTCAACAGGCCTAAAATGTTGTTCTTTTGCCTAATGCCTCAAAAGCCTAACATGGTTCAAATAATTAGTGTGCCCTAGTACTCTTACTGTGAACCCTGCCTCTTTCTCTGTTATGTTATTCAGAGGTCTGGCAACACTGGGAATCGGAGGCATGTTATATTATTGACTTAGTTTCCTTTTTTAGGGTATTTGCTCTTCAGAATATGCACAATGGCCTTTTTTGGAACTGATGTTAGTGAAACCAAAAGTAAAACTAAGCTGAGTCAAAAAAGGAGTCAGTATCTGTTCAATTTGCCTCTTCAAATGTATTTAGAGTGTTTAAAAGACTGAAGAGCAACAAAACTCTTAGTTTGGAAAGCTTAAAAAATATTTTAAAATACTGTACTCATTCATAAAACTTAGGTAAAATAAATAGCACCGCTAATTGGCTTAAGCATGGAGACAAAGCAGAGGTAATCTAAAATGAGGTGTGAGGAGCCGGGCAATAGTGGAAAGGATAGGAGGTGATGAAGTATAAGATCCAACACAGAACTATAAGGCCAGTAGTAAAATAGAAAAAGGAAAGGTAATTCATGTAAACAGACCAAAAAGTAAGGGTAGGGCTGGGCTGAGAGAAGTCTGAAAGTGAAGGAACCATTCAGGTTTAAAGTTGGTGGCAAAATTAAACAGAAAGTAAAAAAGTGTTATATAGAGAACACCCAAATATAATATTGAGACCGACCCACCATTACAAAGTATAATTATGAAAAAGTAGGAAGGCTGGGTACCGTGGCTCACACCTGTAATCCCCAGACTCAGGAGGCTGAGGCAGAAGGATCGTAAATTGGCCAGCCTCAGCAATTTACTGAGACCTTATGCAATTTAGCCAGACCCTGTCTCAACATAAAAAAATAATAAGGGTTGGGGACATAGGTCACTGGTAGAGTGCCCCTGGGTTTGATCCCAGTACCTCTTCCCCTAAAAAGTAGGGAAAATTTGAGTCTTTAAGAAAGTTCAGACTCAACAAATCACATAGACTCTCTTCTACTAATATCTTAATCCCAGCCCTCTCCTCCATTCTCTTCTTGTGCCAATCTGCCCTCAACATCCACTCAGAGTTTAGAAATTACTAAATAGTTGTATTGGTAATTTAAAGTAGAGATGAGTTTTGAGGTGATGCATGGGATTCCAACATTTAGAATGGCCTAATTTTGAGATAGCTTGCTGTTTAGATGTAAATCATTATGAAAGCAAAGAATCTATAATGAAATCATGGTACTATAATACTGAAGGTCATTCCATGCAAGTAGAAATAACTAGTCCTTTTTATTTGTGATATTTGGAATAAGCAATATGCATTTAGCAACCAGTTAAGCTTAAAGGCTCCTTCTAGGACTTTGGAAGGGGACCCTAGTGATGTGTACACATTCCTTATCTTTTTCAGTATCCCTTGAAAAAACAAGATAGTTTTGTAATCTTTTCTCAAAGATGGACTCTAAATTGCTTAAGTTTCAGGTTCTAAAATCTGGATTTGCCACTGAGCTTGTACACAGCAAACTATCTGTCATGTTCTAAACTACAATTTTCCTGTGTGCTGTTGGGTGTATATGCGTCTATGCATGTATATGTGTTTAAATCCTTTATAAATGCATTTGTAATTTCCTAGTTTATAGAATAGAAATTCGAGAAGTCCACCATTATTTTTCTCAAAACTATCATGATATTAGGTTTGATATTATGATATTTGTATCATTCATACTTCAAATATTCTAGAGTTTGGCAGTAAAATAGTATGCTAATAATTCTCAGATATTATTTACAAATCACCACTTTTTTCTCCTTATTATTTTTTTCATTCAAGTAAGGAATATCTTTAAATACAGTGTAGAAACTCGTGTAACTGATTTATCTTTAATTATCTATAATTTGTTTAGGTGAAATAGTTGACATTTAGTCCTTATTGTTCCAATGACAAAGTTTGCCATTTTTTCTCCGGGAAATTTCCTGCATAAAAATCTTGATACAGATTTCGCTTTATAATCAAAAGCCACATTATCCCAAACAGATATTAAAAGTTTACCCAAGAGTTGTTTTGTATCAATTTCTTAGAGTAAGTAGTTTTATAAGTGGGTCCCTGTTAAGTGGTTTGTTAGATGGACATGTTTTAACAGTGTGTCTTAAGTCTCTAAAAAGTAACAATTTTATACAGAGCAACATTCAGAAAGTCAAGGAGTTTATAATCTATCTGATTTAAAATAAGTTTCTATATTAGTACATTTTATACAGCCCTTTGAAACCATTTCTCAAAAAATATGGATTTTTTTTCCTCTTGCTTTTTCTGGGGGTATCAATTTATAACTTAATCAATTTCATCTTAAAATAAAAACTAACTCACTACACTATTTTTCCAAAGATGAGTCTTATTTCTTAAACTCATATCATGTAGTTTTATTTTCTTAATTCACCAACTGTGATTATTCTAGCACTTTTGAATGGTAACGGGTTAAACACATGCATTACCATTTCATTCATAATTCTTTGGCAAATCAAATGCCTTTTTCATTGGATCTAATTCTTCTTGATGTCACATTGCTAAGCAACTAGAAGGAAATTTAAGTACTGGAGGTTTTTTAAATCCTGTTTTACAATTCAAATGAAGGGAGTTGCATTCAGCTTTACCAACAGCCATGGGTAACAATAGCTAGCTTCTTTTCCTCCTCTTTTAAAAATAAACCCAGAATGAGAAACTGAAGCTAGAAACCCACTGGTAAGAAAGACTAAAATGAAAAGGAAAATGGAGGAAGAAAGTTGAATTTAGTTTTCATATCAACCTAGTCTTGCTTTCACGAACATTCCAAAATCACACAGCTTTAAAGATAGTTTAGTTAGGAACTCATTCACTACACACACGCACACACACACACTTTCTCCCCAAAGACCAAAATCAAAGTTTAGCAAAAGACAACACAAACTTACCTTTAACAGAAGCTGAATATGAGGAAATGAAGCAAAGAAAAAGCACAGCAAGAAGAATCATATTGACCAGCTACCCTCTACTGCATCCAGTCCTGAGCAAGGAGTCACTGAGAAGTGGACTCTTCAGATGGCAGGCAGCAAGGGAGTGACTCTCCTCAGAACCTGTGACAATAATGTTTATCTTTGGGGAAAGGTCAGATTCCAAACTCCAAAATCAGACCTAGGTTCACCAAAGGGCTCATTATTAATGATTAAACGTAGGTGGGCTGTAGTTTTTAGCCTCTTGCTCTTTTTATTTTTTACTCCCTATGGAAAATCTAGAAAGTTATAATTTGAGAGCTAAACCAGGCCAGTCTACCTTCCTACAAACACAGAAGTACTGAGAGACATTCCAAGAAAATGGTGGTGATATTTTTCTGCCCAATACATAGTCATCATCATGTCTATAATATTAACTGCCTATATTCACATTTCACCATTTTATGTGGGAGGGTGGCAAGAGTTCTCAATCCCAGATAAACCTAACTGAATTTTAATGTCTTCTATGGTCATTTTGAAAGTTTTTGTATTATTTGTATGCCATTATTAAAAACCATCCTGAATATTAGAATTTAAATTTAGACTAAGATGTGCCATTGCCAATTACTTTAAAATAACATTAAAACAGAACTTTCATTCCTAAAACAGAGATGATTCTCCTTGTTTGTGAAACTATAGCGGGTTGGGGCAAATCGGTGTTGTCCATCATTAATGGGCTAGTAGGCCAATGAGTATACTGGTCATGATACACCTCTATTTGTATCTGAGGGAAGACATACTTCTATGAGTTCCCAGACTGGTTGATCAGCTTTCTGAATTTCATTTCTAGGAAGAGATTCAGAGAGCAAATCATAGTTCTCAGCCATTTTGCTACAGAATATTAATTAGGAAATTTCTCTAGAGTTAAAGCACATATTCTGGTATGGCTAAGGCCATGCTAGCTGAACCAACCTTTGTCCTTGAAATCTCCTCTGAGAAAGAACTGACATGAACAAAACCTACTAAACTGAAGTGGCATGGAAGAAGGGGAGGGTTGCTGGTGAAGTGTCATTTCAGTGTACTTGAAAATACTTATGGCCATGTTTCAATATAAAATGGATTCTTAAATATACCCTGATTCCTTTCAAAACCTTTATGGAGGCTGCTAACCTTAAGTTTGAATCTTTCAGACAACTAGGGAAAAGATAGCAGATTTAATGGGGCCACAAAATAAATACCAAATTTAGAAATCTCTAAAGTGTATTTTCATATAAGGAATAAAAAATGAAAATTCTTTGTGTTATCTTCTATAAAGAGTAGAATTTTATATACTATCATCAGTTTTATATAAAATAAGACAAAAAATAAGTTGTTTGATTAAGAATATCTCTTTAAAGCTCTAAATACTAAGTTATCCTGAGATTTAACAGAAAAGGCCACTTTTTTTTTTTTTTTTTGCCCCTGTGAGGTCCTTAAAGTAGAGACTATCAAACTTGTTTCTCTCTTTTTTTTAATTTGTCCTTTTTAGATATTCATGACAGTAGAATGTTTTTTGACATGTTATACATACATGGAGTATAACTAATTCTAATCAGGACCCCATTCTTGTGGTTGTACGCGGAGTAGAGTTTCACTGGTTGTGTATTCATATGTGAACATAGGAAAGTTGTGTCCAATTCATTCTATTGTCTTTCCTATTTCCATACCCTCACCCTTCCCTTCATTCTTAGAAAAAATAACTTTGTTGAGAAAATAAAAGTATTATGAACAGATTTCTAAATGTTCCCACAATTTCCATATTATTTTCATAGGGATATGAAGCCATTATAGTCACTTAAGTTTTACTTCCACATTTATTTAAGTTAAGAACTAGTTTCCTTCTTATTTGATTCTATAAGAATTGTCTTTTGTATTTTCATTTGAGACTCATAGTGAAATAGACTTTTAAAGTTCGTTGTTAGACTATGTTTCATGATACGTGTCTCTTCGGGTAAAGTACTGTCTGTTGTCAGGAGTTTATCAGAGTCCAACCAATAAAAGGCATATCACTATTGCCTAATAAAATAACTGCTGTTCCATTTGAGCATTTGATTTCCACTAGAAAGTGCCTGTCATCGTACTAGAGTTGTATCAACATGGGATATTCAAATAAGTCCGCTTCTGTTGGTTAAAAATAACATCACCCTTTTATATTTTGCATATAAACTTTTCTTTTTACACAGACATTTGAGAAAAGAATTCCTGTGATTGCTTCACCAAGATGAAATAAGAATCTCAAATCCTTTCCATACTGAATGAACTCTGGACCAAAGAAGCATCCTCTTCTGTTGCTCTGTTGATCAAGCAGAGCAAAAGCTCTACAATATGTGTTGGAGGTACTTCCTAAAACTCACTGGCTATTTTACATGGCATGTGAGGCAGGGCAGATGTACAGAACAGTATAAAAATCACAAGAGTTGCTGTCTGTAGAACAATAACTACATACGATACACTATGTTAAGTGATTTACATTTTTTATAATATATCTTATAATAATCATCTTACATATCAGAAAAACTAGACTCAGATTGATTTAGTCAAGCATTTTAAGGAATATAAGAAAACAAACCTTAAAACTTAGATCCAATACTCTTCTTTATTTTAAACCATTAAAGGTGAGAAGTGGAAAAAAATTAATTTCTTATGCATGTCATAAAATTATTATTATTAGGGAACTGTCTTTTTAGTAAGTCCATCACAATTGTATATGGAAGCTCATGGAGCACTTGATTTTTGTGATTAGATGATCCAGGCTGACAATACAGGGGAAAAACTGATTTGTACTAGTCAGGAAAAATCATAAAATACATTTTAAAACAATGCTATTACTGTGAAATTCCTTTGGTAGAACGTGACAATGAACTATTTGCTGTACTACCACTTTGCCTTGATAAATAAGAACACTATGAAATAAAGAAGGACGACTAATTCCAAAGTGCAGTTGTGTTTCTGTAGAGTTTCATAGGTTATTAACAGGGGTTTTAACTTACATTTGCAGATTAGAAGATACATGAACTTTACCCACTAAAGATTGAAAGGAAGTGTATTGCCCCACTAGATACTGATATAGTAAGTCAGGGTGTAGGATGACTATATGAGAAGAGAGTCATCATCAGAATACTTTGCTTTGTTCTTACAAACATGACATTGTTAAAAACAAAATTTTAGGAGGATATTTTCCTAAAAGATCATAATGGTTTAGTCTAGTAATATTTTCAGTTTGATAATGGACTTAACATTTTGAAAGAATCCTGAAAAGCATTTTTTGTTAGATTAACAATATTCTTATAATATGATGACCTAATTTATACCAAGGTAAAATCATGGAAGAATAAATACACTATTTTAATAGGTGTTGTTCAAGAGCTGTCTTTGAGAAAATACTCATTGAACACCTTACCTTAAAAGTCAAATTTAGATTTAGGTAGGAGATATTTGTAATTACAACTTCAAAAAATATAGTCATTTGTTTCAAGATAGAATTATTAAACAAACTTGACCCCATCATACACATACATATCCACACATATTTGACAACAATCACAAAATCCTTATGCATCAAGTTAGTCAGCCTAAGAGGACTCTACCTTAACAATTATCTTTGGCCACTCAAAACTGAGTTGCTAGCACTTAAAAGGAGACAATTGATAAAAGCACTTACGGTAGACTACTGTAAGGAGAATAAAATTTAAATTTTAATCAAAATAATTTCATTGGAATTCTTAAACACCAAAATTTCAGAGCCTAGGGAAAAAAATAAACGTGATTTCTTTTAAAATTGCACATAATATAATATAATTATGCTTATGGCTTAATTGTTAATATATATGTATAAAATATGAGTTTAATTGAAGTTGAAATAGAAGCGAATTATTTTTGAGTAACATCAAAATAAAGAGATTCAAAGTATTAAAAAGAGGTCAGCAAATACATAATATAGAGAGAGTATGAATAGGGTGAAAATAATATTTCATGAGACTATTTGAAGAATTTCCCAGACCTATTGAAAAGCACTGTGGTAGTTCTCTGTAGTTGCCTAACAAATTACTATAAAATTACTTACTTAAAACTATATATTTATTGTCTTGAAGTCCCGGAAGTCAGCAGTCTAATAATGGTCTCAGTGGGCTGAAGTCCAGGTGTTGGCAGGGTGCATCCCTTTTCTTGAGACTTTGGGGGAGAATCTGTTTTCTTCTCCTTTACAATTTTTAGAAGCCACCTGCACTCCCTGGCTCGTGGCCCTTTTTTCTCCTCTTCAAAACCAGCAAAAGGAGGGTAAAGTCCTTACCACTCTGACCACCTCTGTAGTCTTCCTATTCTACTTTACAAACACTTTTGATGATATTAAGTCCACCTGGATCATCCAGGAAAATCTATCTTTGTCAGCTGATTAGGACCCATAATTTCATATGTAGTCTTAAAATGGATATTCACAGGTTCTGGGAATTAAGACATGGACATCCTAAGGGAGCCATTTTTTTCTGCCCACCACAGACACTAATATAAAGATGAAAGAGGCTCAATAGACCTCAAGTAAGATCATTAACAAGAAACCCACATGTAGACACATCATAATGAAAGAACAGAATACCAAACAGAAAGGGAAGACATTTAAAGGAACCAGATAAAGACAGATTACCTTAAAGGAAGAAGAGAATCGTACAACTGCTAATTTATTAACAGTAACAATGAAGACTAGGAGACTATGTGCTGAGAAAATGATTATCGATTGACAATTATCAGCAATCATCATCATAGTATTGTATGTTCTGTAAATACATCTCTTAAACATAAAGTTGAAGTAAAGGTATTTCCAGAGAATGTGCAACCATACCTCTATAATTTATCTTTAAGAGAATCCACTTCAATCAGAAAAAAAGTGATTCCATCTGGAATCTGAGATTCAAGAAAGAACAAAGAAAGTGGTAAATAATGTGGGAACACACATAAATTCTTGAAACTAATAAAAATGTTTTGTGGGGTTGAACCCAACTTAAAAATATGCAAGAATAATTATGTCACATTTTGTGATATAGTGAAAATTTGGATACTATGATATTTGTTTGATGATAAGAAGTAGTTAAATAAATTATGATATATCTATT